CAAGCGTAGCTTGGTGGAGAGCACTACGTTGCGCCGCGAGACTGTGAGAAGGGGATTCCGCTGTCCATACGCGTCAATACCATTTGGCGGTTTCGTTAGGTGGTGTTTAGCTATATTAGCGCTGACACGTGGGGAAACATGAGAGGAGAGTAGGTCCACGCGTCCCAAGGGAAATGGGCACAAAAGCGCACGCAAAAACTATATAAAGGAGGCTGTGCTTCCATACCAAAGGAGATGATCCTCTTGTGAGGGCTTAACTACCACTTTGTCTCCTTTCTTTTGTCTCTCTCTAGAAGTGCGCTAACTTGACTGTCGGAGGGGTTTTCAGGCAACACACCACCGGGTAGCTCACCTACATTGTGTTTTCAGGACGATCAGAGTGACGTGCAGTTTGGACACGAGAAGTACGGATAACGTTCGATATTTGACCCCCGTACAAGGGCTATATCACTAAAATGGTTTCCATGTGGTCATGATTGTTGTGGAATATTTGACGAAGTCAAATCTCGTGTATTTTAACAAATTTTGGCTGAAGATTTGGGAAACTATTGAATGGAATTTATTTATTTATGAAGGTATAAGTAAAAGTGACTTTAATTTAAGAATTTGACACACTCGTAAAGTTTTGAACTAACCTAAATAATCTCATTTGCTAATATATCAAAGAGTGTTCTTGTCTTTAGGGTTCAGTGGCTGGTGTTTCAAATTACTCTCCCCTGCGAGGTGGAAACTAACTTAAAAATTACACTTTTAAAATATCTAATTTATGTTATTTAAATATCTAAAATTATACAAAAACTCTTTATTTTAATTGCATCTATGAATGAAATTTAGGGAACCAATATACGTGGGACTTATGTGTAGGTCTTGTTCAATAGGCTTTATGATAATTAATGATATTTTTCATTAAACACTATTAAAAAACGTCATTAATTATTAATTTTTAAAGATAATTTAAAAATTGTCACAAAAAATGTCATCAATTATAAGTTTTAATGACAGTTTAAAAGAATTATTATAAAAAATTCACTAATTTACAACTTTCAGCGACAGTTTAAACAGTTTGTTATAGAAAAACATCACTAATTGTAAGTTTTAGCAACAATTTATAAAAAATCATTACAAAAAAGTCACTAATTGTCAATTTTTAGTGACAAATGTAAAATCTCATTACAAAAAAATTATTTTTAGTCACGATTTTATTATAACTTATTTTTAACAAGACTTAATTAGAATTAAATCTAACTATTATATTCGTATCTATTGATAATTTACCTAAAATGTAATTGATTATTTTTGTAATAGCTGATTGTCTAATTGGTGCTATAGGCCTCGAATCAAGTTTTTTTTTTTATTTTTTTTGAAGGATGGTTATATGTAGGGGTATGCTAAAAAATTAGACATCCTGCACCAACTCAGCCTGTGTGGTTTGATAAGATGAGTCAGTTAGGTTCGACTGGTTTAGTGATAAAATTGACTAATCAGTTAGGTTACTGATTAAAATTTATTAATCCCATACAATTTTGTACGAGTCCCTCCTATATTTTTTTTCAAATCAAGAAGACTTAGAAAAAATTGAAATGGCTTTGATTTCAATTTCTTCCGAGTCATCTTGATTTAGAATAAAAATATATTATGAACTCGTATAAAATTATATAGAATTAATAAATTTTAATCAGCAGCTTAACTGATCAATCAATTTTATTACCTTATCAAACCACGCAGGCCTTAATGCGAAATATTTAATTTTTTAGCACACCCTACGTATAGCAACCTTTAAAAAAATAATAATAATAAAAACACAAAAAAAAAAAAAATTCGAAGCATTCCTACGAAATTTCGAGGCCTTAATCATTTTTCTTTACGCAATTATCTTGATATTGATATTTGAAATGTATGAATGTTAAAAATATAAATAAATAAAATAAAGGAGTGAACACTTTAGACAAGCATTATGTGTCTTACTTTTATTCCTCCATTTTTGTCTGCCATTGGATATTAGAGCATCTACAATAAATATGTTAGTGGATGTACTAGTGTCGGTGGCTAATTTTTTAGCCAATCACAATCATTTTTGTCTCACAATAAAAGTGTTAATGAGTTAGCCAAACCCAAAAATTTTAGTATAAGTGGCTAAACCACTAGTCACGGTTAACACACATTGTGGCCAGTCCAGAGGGAGAGAAAGGCCAGCCCAGAGAGAAAGAGAGAAAAAATAGAAAGAGCGGCTGACACACCGTGCGGTAGAGTGGGGCCCACTGTATTTTTTAATTATTATTTATTTTATTTATTGTGTATGTATATATTTTCTTAATACACATCTTAACACATCTATTACACTACTATTCACTCTTTAAAATTAACAAACACACACATTTTTAGATCTCATTTTTATTACTTTTTGTTATATAACACACAATTTTTTAATTACTCCATTATAGATGCTCTTAGGAGGAAGCTGCACAAAAATAGCAATGTTAGAAAGAGAGAGGAAATAGATGAGAAGGAAAGAAAACCCTAAATTTGGTTAGGATGAAAATGTGAGGGAGGTAAGGAAATGATTTTTTTTTAAAAGTTTATTTAGGATGAAAATAGTGAAAATTATAAAAACAAAATTTAATTTTATTATACAATTCATGATAGTATTGGTAATTAAGCTTTTAGTTGTAAAAAAACACTTGAAAGTTTAAGTTTGATAAAAGTAATTACTTATAATTAGAATTCTTAATTTTTCTTCATGTGGGTGTTAATTTCTGACTACATAATCAAACAGATTTCTTATTGGAGACCCTGCGGCAGAATAGATCAAGCCAAACATTTGCTCACAAAAAGATAAGAAATACCATGGTGGCTTGTCCACTCGGGATATTTCGACGGTCAAGTCAACAAACTTATCTCTCAAAGATATGGGCACAAGTAAAACAATTATCAGTTAAAAAGTATCTTAGACCCACGAAAGTGCCCTACTTTTATAGCCAACAGTGCCCGCGTCTCCTAGAAGTGTTACATCATAGGACTCTATCCTTTGTAAGGATATCACTTATCCAAGACTCCTCTTATTTGGATTATGATCAACTCTTTTAAGAGTCTAACCTTACCCAAACAAATAGTCTAATATCATGTAGGACTCTTATCCTCTATCCGAATATCTCGGATTCCGATATAATTGCACAATACCTCGGCATCCCTAGGTTCCCACATGGCACCTCGGCACCCCTAGGTTCCCCACGTGGCACCTCAGCCAACAACATAGGCCACGTGAATAACTTAAAAATATGTCCCTACAATAATTAAATTCATAGAAGAAATATATTTTATTTTTTAGATCCTTTTGAAAAAGAAAAGAAGACAAATTACCCTTGTAATCCCAGTAGTTTGTTTGTGTCAATTTGATCATTGTAATTATAATTGTATCGATTTTTTCCTCTTATCTTTTACATTGTGTCAATTCGTCCAATTGATAACAACCTTTAAAAAATTGGATTGAAAACAAAGGACAAACTAATTTTCTTTAATCTTGTCAAAGCGATCGAAAAGTTGTGGTCCAATTTAAAATGGCCCATTAAATTTTGAATGAAACATTTTGTTTTTTGTTTCAATTTAATTTCTTAGATGTTTCAGAATTGCATAAACCAAATTGATACAAGAAACAAATTACAGGGATAACAAGTATACTTTGTCCAAAAAACACCATTTTAATACTGGGTAAATTACACTTTGCCCTTCTAAAGTTTCACCCATTTTCTACTTTGGCCCTTTAAGTTTGATTTTTCCCCACTTTGGCCCTTCATGTTTGTAATTATTCCCACTTTGGCGCTTTAAGTTTGATTTTTCCCACTTTGACCTTTCATACTTGCAATTTTTTCCACTTTGGCCTTTCATATTTGCAATCATTCCCATTTTTACTTTAAAACTAACTTCCATCTAAAAAATTAACAGAATCTGCTACATCACCAGTGCATCAGCTCCATGATGTAAAAAATTCACTAAAGATGCAAAAAATGAAAAATAGAAAACAAAAAAATTAAACTTTTTTTTAGTCTTTAGTGAACTTTTTTTCAAATTTGTTCATAAACATTATTACATTATAGATGCATCTAGATTAGATGCACCTAAAAAAATAAAAACAAATTTAATTGAAAAGAGAAAATTTTTTACTAAAAATGAAAAAATAAAAAATATACTAACTCAAACACCTGTATTGACAATTCTGAAATAAAAAGTTTACTATCTTTTTTTTCTTTTTGTCTTTAGTGAACTTTTTTCTTTTTTTAGTTAAATTTAATGTTTATGAATAAATTTGAAAAAAATTTCACTAAAGACTAAAAAAAATTCCAATTTTTTTGTTTTCTATTTTTCATTTTCTGCATCTTTAGTGAATTTTTTACATCACATGTGGAATTGATGTGTTGGTGATGAGGTAGATTATGTTATGTTTTTGGATGGAAGTTAGTCTAGGAGTAAAGTGGAAATGATTGCAAACATGAAGGGGCAAAGTGGGAATGATTGCAAATATGAAGGGCCAAAGTAGAAAAAATCAAACTTAAAGGGCCAAAGTGGGATGGGTTGCAAACATGAAGGGCTAAAGTGGGAAGCATTGCAAACATGAGGGGAAAGTGGAAAAAATCAAACTTAAAAGGCCAAAGTGGGAAGGATTGCAAACATGAATAGCCAAAGTGAGAAGTATTGCAAAGATGAAGGGCCAAAGTGGGAAAAATCAAACTTAAAAGGCCAAAGTGGGAAATAGATGAAACTTTAGGGGGCAAAGTGTAATTTACCTTTTAATTTTTATTTGGTAGTTCATGAAAAATCATAAGTAATTTCAATTTCTTTCCAATTTCATTGAAGCACAAGCATAGTATTAAAAACATAAATGGTGGCGACGTACAAAAATTTCACATAGAATGGAGTACTTTTCATTATTGTTGTCGATTGTCGTCAATTATGACAACTAAACTTTTCAAGGAAAATTAAGAAACTGTTCATTTCATTAGATTTGTTAACATATAATATACATATAATATATCCCCCACTATGTATAGCTGTAACCTTCCCACTATGTATAGCTGTAACCTTGCATCTGTAAAGGCTCCATGTGTAGCTGTAAAGAAGAGGCATCCGATGCTAATTGTCTCCCTCTCCTCTCTATAAAGAGAGGGAGCTTACTCTCTTGTAATATACACTGAAACATAATATAACAACACCAACTTTCAGTCCCTCTCTTTTTCTCTCCCTCGTTACCAAACTCACATGGTATCAGAGCTTAGAAACACAATTCTGGCATCCCTCAATCTTAGGTCTTAGTTCCGTACACAGTGGACTATACCAAACAGCTCGGAATTTCCCTACGATCCCAACGGCACCAAGCCCATCACCAAACAAGCCTCCACGCGCTCTCACGCGCCGCTTCTTCTCTCGGCGCGTCTCTGCTTCCGTTGCCACTCTCACACGCGCTGCCACGCGCCTTCCATCCTGCCCTGTCGTGCGCCGTACCTGCTACCGTGCACCAGCGTGCGCCGTTCGACTACCGTGAGCCGCGCGTGCGCCGTTCCGCTATTGTGCACCCGCGTGCGCCATTCTGCTAACAGACGCTGCCAGTCCCCTCTGCTATCGTGCGCCGCACGCCCTTCCTGCTAACGTGCGCCGCTGACCTCATTTTCCACCCTGCTGACATCATCCTTGCACAGCCCACCTTTCTTAGCTATTTTCGACCTTCCGGACTCACTGGTACACTCTGTTTTACCTAATTTTGCTCCTACAGGTCTCTCCCTATCCATTTAGCCCTCCTCCACTATTATTATGGATCGTCCTGATGCCTCCCATCCTATTTCTGTTATTTTGGATGGTTCTAACTATGTTCTATGGGCCCAAGCCATGTCTTCCTTCCTCAAAGGAAAGAAGCTCTGGCGAATTATCACCGGGGACATCACCCAACCGGTCAAAGACACTGCTGAAACCACTATTTCCCCTGGTACTCCTACATATGAAGATCGCCTTGAGGAATGGGACAGTAAGAATTACCAAATCATTACCTGGTTTCGGAATACGTCTGTTACCTCTATCAGTCTTCAGTTTGGCCGCTTTCAGCTTGACTCTGTCACCACTCCTGCCAAAGATATCTGGGATTTTTTGAAAGAACGATACCAGGCTACTGGTCTTGCTCATCAATATCAACTTCAGAGCCAACTTCATCGGATGCGCCAAGAATCTAGTCAGTCCATCAATGACTTCCTCTCTCAAATGTACTCCGTTTGGGACCAGCTTGCTCTTTCTGAACCAACTTGGCCTCACCAAGAAGATGCTGTTTTATTTACTGCTTATCGTAATCAGCAAAGGTTGGTGCACTTTCTTATGGCTCTCACTTCATCTTTTGAGCCTGTACGTGCCTCTCTTCTTCATCGCCATCCCTTGCCCACTCTGGAACAAGCTATTTCTGAGTTGCTATCAGAAGAGACTCGTCTTGGTACTCTCCAACCTCATCATGTGGACTCTGTTCTTGCCACTCCCCCGTACCAACCATCATTCCCCCAGCGGACCACTGCCTGTCTCTACTGTCAGAATCGGGCCCTTCCTTCCACACATCTCCTGGTCAATTGCCCAGTCAGAACCTGCCGATATTGCAACAAACTTAGTCCTGGTCATCTGCAACAGGATTGTCTTCGCCATCCATCCCGCTCATCCTCCAACAACCACTCTTCTCGCGGTGGTTCTTCTCGGGGGAACTTTCATCGTTCCAGGAACCAATCTCATCCTGGGAATCAGTTTCCTCACACCGCCACTGCTGCTGCTGCCGCTGAGGGTTTTTCTGAGTCTCCAGCTCCGTCTACCCCTCTCTTTTCTCCAACAGATGTCGAGGCCATGTTCAAACACCTTCTCTCCCCTTCTGGTACACCTCCTCCTACTGCTTTGTCTGTAATTCCAGGTAACTCTTCTTGGTATTTTGACTCTGCCTATTGTAATCATATAACCTCCAGTTCCACTATATTTTCTTCCATCTCTTCATCTCCTCATATTCCCTCAATTCAAACTGCTGATGGTTCTCTCATGACTGTCCGTCATCTTGGTACTGTTTCCACATCTTCCTTAACTTTACCTCAAGTTTATCATATCCCTGCTCTCACTTTAAACCTTATCTCTATTGGTCAATTATGTGAACTTGGTCTAACTGTCACATTTTCTGCTACTCATTGTTTGGTGCAGGACCCTCAGACGAGGCAGACTATTGGGATCGGCCGTAAGCACGGACGTCTCTATGAGCTCATTCTCGCCACTTTGGATCTGATCAACTTTTTTATTCATATGTTCAAATATAATCTTAACGCATACTTATGTTTTGGTTATGCGGTGAACTTTAGTTTTATTTATTAATTAAACTGGTTGATACATATTTATCTTTGTTTGTTAAACTTTGATGGGTTTATAGACATAGGATTTTACGTTTTATAATGTTTGGTAACACATGTCCGAACATATACAAATTGTTCAGTAACATAGGTCCAAACATAGGTAATTTGTTTGGCAACACAAGCCCGAACATGATCGCAGAGAGACGTTGACGGTCAAAGATTGGCTGTGAGGGAGATTGACGGCGAAAAGAGGTAGACTGTGAGAGATTGTTTGTGACCAAGACCGATGGCGAATAGAGGTCCACGGTGAGAGGAAACTTGAGTTCAACGGTGAGAATTTAATGGTTCACGATAAGAGGAAGTTTGAGTTCAACCGCTAAGGATTTTGAGAGATAAAGGATTTTTAAGGAGGGCTGATATTTGCCCCTACCTAATTACTTTGGCCCACCCACTTCTTTAAATCCCCACTTAGCAAAATGAAACCCCTACAATTTTTCTTTAAATCCCCACCTTAATACCAACTATGCCCCTAATCTCAAAACCAAACCCAAATCCTAACCCTTTCACTTCTCTCTAATCTGGATTCTCTTTCCGTTTTCTTTGTTTTCTTGCATTCAAATTAAGTATGAGTGAGAAACAAAGCAAGAGAAAAGATCCATCAACAATGGCCACCATTAAAACCTCTATCACAGGCTATGGCGAGTGATTTCTTGCATTCCTTTTTACTCTTCTCTCTTTTCTTCTTCATCTTCTTCTGAAAACCTTAGGTTTTTATCTCTATCTCTTTTGCTCATCCTCTCTCGCAATGGATGAGGAGGTCACAATGGTGGAGTGGGTTCGACAACACAGTGCTGAACAAATCCTGAATGGTCAGCAACACAGTGTTGAACGAATCTTGAATGTTCGGCAACACAATGCTGAACGAATCCTTTTAGTTCGATAACACAGTGCTGAATGGGTCGATCTCTTTTCTCTAATTCAGATCTGCTGTAGGAGATGTGGGTGCTTGTCGGTAAGGGTGATGGCTGATTGCGACGAAGGGAGTGGTGGTTGCGACGGTGAAGAGTGGTCCGAGATGGTAGAGGTTGCAACGATGAAGGGTGGTTGGAGATGGTGGTGGTTATGGCAGTGAAAGGTAGTCAGAGATGGTGGTATTGCCGGAGGTGATTAGGGTTAAGGTTAGGGTTAGAGTTTGGAAAATTAGGTTTAGAAGATTAGGAATGATGGTAAAAGTGGAATTTTAGATTGAAACAAAATTGGAATTAAAAAAAAAAAAATGAATGATGTGGGGGTTCTAAGAAGAAAGGTAGAGGTTAATAGCAATGCTCTTTTTAAGAGATGTGTTAAGGGGTGTGCATTTTGTTAGATGTGATGTTTTTAGAATAATACTTTTGGTATTATTTGGGAGGTTCTTAGAAATTTTTAGGATTTTGAATTTTGTAAGTGGAAGTTAAAAGAAAGAGGAATGTTATATTTATTTAAAATTCTACTAACAATCTTATTAAAAATATATATGTCAAAACATTATTGAATGTTTTAATGTCATTATTTTTCTTATAACCAATCACATTTGACTTATTATATTTTTAATAATGTTAACATATAATATACATATAATATATCCCCCACTATGTATAGCTGTAACCTTCCCACTATGTATAGCTGTAACCTTGCATCTGTAAAGGCTCCATGTGTAGCTGTAAAGAAGAGGCATCCGATGCTAATTGTCTCCCTCTCCTCTCTATAAAGAGAGGGAGCTTACTCTCTTGTAATATACACTGAAACATAATATAACAACACCAACTTTCAGTCCCTCTCTTTTTCTCTCCCTCGTTACCAAACTCACAAGATTGAATGAAGATGCCCATTATTACACAAACACTACAACATGAAGAGGGAGATAATATAAATATATATATTAGACCAAGTAGTTATAGAGAAGATAAAAGAAGCATGGCTTTGAAACCACATAACCTCCTCTTCATTCACTATCCTCTTCCTACTGATACTGCTATGGTTGACAAACACATCGGCGTATCATTATACCCAGGATGGTTGTCCAATATATTGCGGAGTCGTTAGAATTCCATTTCCTTTTGGAATCGGTGTGAATTGTTACTTAAACAAATGGTACTCCATAGAGTGCAGGAACTCAAGCAGCAGCTCCTACTACTACATAGAAGGCACACCTTACTTAACAAGCATCGGTCTTGAGGTGCTGGATATTTCATTAAGGGGCAGCTATGTTTTAGTCAACCATACAGTAATATCTCCCAGTTGTCCCATAATTAACAATGGTAGTAGCAGCGTGAACTTGACAAATAGCCCTTTTCAATTCTCAGCATACTACAATTTATTTGTCGTTGTAGGTGTAGGCTGCGACGACCAGGAGGCCATGATGTTGACCGATCTGCTGGACAACAACAAGACGATGCCAATTACCCAGTGCACACTTACTTGCAATTCTTCTACTAATAATATTAGCTTTTACACTTTCCCATCCTTTGTGCAGTCTCTGCAGGGCTACAAGGTAAATTTGGCAAGCATAGGAAACAACAACAATCAGAGTGGAGGTGTAGGTGTTGTGCAAACATCATGTACATATGGGTTTCTGGCAGAAGAAACTACAGATATGATGTCTACTTTAAATTGGTTCTCCATTGGTGTCCAAAACAAGACTACTACTCATGTCCCTGTCCTTCTCGATTAGATTTTCCCAGCATGGAACACACCAAACACACCTGTACCTACCAGTGATAAATATAGGTCCTGTCTTTCTTCATCGAATGTTTTTTCTTCATCTAACGGGAGGTGTGAAATTGTTGAAAGCAGGACACGCTATTGCAAGTTTTCGACCAAGGGAAATCCTTACCTTCCGGACGGATGTAAAGGTACATATATGCTCAATCCATCTATCCATGATGTATTATCAACCTTTTTTATATATATAAATACAGTTTATTCATCTTTAATGTCTTTTTTTTTTGGTAAGTAAGTTATAAGTTTTATACCAAAAAATAGATATTACAGTGAGGCTCATTACCTTTTCAGAGGCAACACACCCTTTGAGGAGGGAAACCACATGTTTAGCTTCTACACTAAAATCTAACAATAACATACAAGGAGAAAAGCTAGGCTAAGCAACAATCAACGGAGATGCCTAAGATTTCATAACAGTCTTACGACTTGATTTCTTAGAGTTGATAGAGAGGCTAACCTCCTGAGCAAGTTTAAGACTAGCAATTCTTTCAAAGAGCTTTTTCTTGTTTTCCACTTTTGAAGATGGGTTTGTCCATGAAACAACAAATGTTCCATCCAAAAAGGAATGATGAGCTCCTTTAGAACGTGAAGATGATATAGGGGCTAACACATTTATATTACCCACATCCCTGACAATTTTTTTCTCTTCCTTTGAAACCTCTTCATTTGAAATATCTTTTGAGGGGTTACTCTCTTTCAAAGAGGAGCAATTCGCATTAAGGACGCTCTTAAGATCCACACAAAAAAGAAACCTCCTCAGTGGCTACACAATTATTGAGAATACCAAATGCATTCGACGAAGATGGAGGAGGTGTAGGAACAAAGTTACCTATAGGAGCATCAACGACGTCCTTGCCTTTTTTCTTTTTCACTTCAACCTATTCATTTGGCTTGCCTTCTTCCTTTGTCTCGACCATTTCTTTGGCCTTACACTCTTGTTTGAGTTTACTAGGAGCCTGAGTTATTGGTTTACTTGGACCCAAACTTGTAGCATGACCAAATATTTTGCATTCTCCACACACTTGGGGTTTCCAAGGAACTTTTACTTTGATTTCGAATGGTTTTCCACATCCTAAGTATACAATAAAGGAGGGTGGAATCTCTTTGGTAGCTTTTAGGAACTTTTACTTTGATTTCGAATGGTTTTTCACATCCTAAGTTTACAATAACGGAGGGTGGAATATCTTTGGTAGCTTTTATCTCAATACAAATTCTAGCAAATGTTAACCGGCTATAGTTTTGAGTAAATTCATCAAGGTACAATGGATTACCGATAAAACTTACTATGTAACTCAATCCCTTCTCAGTCCAAAGTTCAAGCGGCATAGTGAAAAATTTTACGCATATCAGTACACTTAAGAAGACATTTTTAGTAAGGGTCATACTGGGGTGCCATTTCTTAATAACAATCAATTTGCTCCCAATATAATAAAGCCCCTCATCAAGAATTGACTTTAAAGATTCTTCATGTTTCATCTTGAATACCAAGTAGCCATTATCTAAGGTTACAACCTCTTTAAGATTTTCCTTTCACAACTTGAAAGGCAATTTTCTATCATAAAATAACCCATAAGAGCATGTTCCGATTGCTTAAACCCAATTTTAGAGATTTCCAATGGGATTTGAAGTTGATCGTTCTCATAACCCACTGAGTATCTCTTGAGGCTTTTAAATACCCTTTTCTTTTTTTTAACAATCTCATACTTACATAAACCACTCTAGGACGTAGAGATAACACTAACATTAGCTTTGGACCATTTCTGCTTCAATCTTTGATGTTCACGGTTCACTATTGTGACAAATTAACCTAACTCAATTCAAAACCTTTATACGTTTTGCAATCAAAGGGTTTGCTTTGCTTTGGATCTCTTCTGTGGAGCCAACCAACCTAATTGCAACTTTAAGTAGGATTAGAATTCTTAGGACATGTTTAATTAGTAGAATTATAGTATAGGATTGGAATTGTTAGTATATTGACTCACAATCCCATGTTTAATTACAAATTTTATTAAACGGATTACATATAACCAACAACAATAAAATAAAAAAAAATAATTAGTTTTTTTGGTTTGGGTTTTCAGGATTCACGTTTTAAAAAATTGCAATGTTTTATTTTCGGTATTTTTTATTTTCACTGAATTTTTTGAATATTTTAAGA